TTTGGGCCTTTTCTTTCCTTTTTCTGATAAGGTTGGCTAAGGGTTTGTCAATTTTGTTGATTCTTTCGAAGAACCAACTCTTGGCTTCACTGATTTTTTTGTATCATTTTCTTAGTCTCCATTGCATTGATTTCTGCCCTAATCATTATAATTTCTTCCTTTCTATGGGCTTTGGGTTTTTCCTGCTCTTCTTTTTCTAGAAGCTTGAGGTTCAGCATCAGATTGTTTAATTGGGCTCGCTCTGTTTTCCTAATGTGAGTATTCACTGCTATGAATTTCTCTCATAAGACTGCTTTCATTGTATCCCATAGATTCCAATATGTTGTATTGTCATTTAATTGAAGGAACTGTCTGATTTCCTCTTTAATGTTCTCTGTGACCCATTGGTTATTCAGAAGTGTGTTGTTAAATTTCCACATGTTTATGAAATTTTTTGAGTTTCTTTTGCTATTGATCTCCAATCTCATCACACTAGTCTGATAATATACAGGGGATAACCTCAATTCCTTTGCACTTACCTAAATATGTTCTCTGAGCAAGTGCGTGGTCTACTTTGGAGAACAACCTGTGTGCAGCTGAAAAGAATGTGTATTCTGATTTTGTGGCGTGGAACACTCAGTAAACATCTGTTAAGTCCTTTTGTTCAAGAGTTTGATTGATTTCTGGTATTTCACTGCTTGTTTTTTGTCTAGGTGATCTATCTATTTGTGACAATGGGGTATTGAGATCCCCCACTACTATTGTATTAGTGCTTATATGATTTTTCATGTCCATTAGTATTTGTTTTATATAGTTGGGTGCACTAGTGTTTGGTGTATAGATATTTATGATTGTCATCTCTTCCTATTGGATTGTTCCCTTTACAAGGACGTAGTGTCCTTTGTCTCTCTTAATCAGTGTGGGTTTGAAATCCACTTGGTCTGCAAAAAGGATAGCTACTCCTGCTTTTTGGGGGGTTCCTGTCACATGGAGTGTTATTTTCCACCCTTTCACTTTCAGACTATGAGTTTCTTTTAGAATTAAATGTGTTTCTTGTATGCAGCATATTGTTGGATCTTGCTTCTTGACCCATTCTGCCAGCCTATTTCTTTGGATTGGTGAATTGAGACCATTAACATTGATGGTTATAACTGATACATATTGACTTAGCATTGTCATGACTTTTTCTTTTTGTTGGATTCTCCCTCTTTGCATTTAATTTTTTGTCATGCCTGATGGATTCATTCTACTGGGCTTCCTGGGGTTGTGATCCTCATTGTCTTTTCCTAGGATATTGTCTAAAACTTTTGGAGTGCTTGTTTGGTATTCATGAAGTTCCTAAGGTGCTCTTTCTCATGAAGGTATCTTATTTCTCCATCAATTTGAAAGATAATTTTGCAAAGTACATCAATCTGGATTGGAGGCTGTTTTCTTTTAGGGCTTGAAATACACCACTCCAAGCTCTTCTTCCCTTGAGGGTTTGCATTGAGAAGACTGCCGTGATTCGGATGGGCTTTCCTTTGTATGTGATTTGTTTCTTTTCTCTAACTACTTGTAGAACTTTGTTCTTCTGTTGTGTTTCTGGAATTTTAACAATTATATGCCTATGTGTAGATTGTTTCTGATCAAGGCTATTTGGAGTCCTATATGCCTCATTTATCTGTATGTCAAGTTCTTTTCCACTGCTTGGGAAGCTTTCTGCCATCACTTCTCTGAACAGTTTATTTATGTCATCTGCACTCTGTCCTGTTTCTTCATTGACTCCAGTCAGTCTTATGTTATTCTTCTTTGCATCATCTAGCAGCTGCTGGATTGCTTTCTTGTGGTCCCTTACAATT